TGTTGTATATATTAATATGTTTGATTGTCCTATTGTCATGATTATTTCGTGTTGTTGTTGATGTGATGATTATTTCATGTTTTCGTGCCTTCATCACTTTATTCATCCTGTCGTTATTCAGTACCGTGTTTTTTATGCTGTCGCGCCAGGCGTAATGAAGGTAATTATTGCTGGGCATGATTTAGTTGCGTTCCATGATTGAGACAGAATCTCAAATTCGAAGCTCCAGCCTAGACGCAAGCTCATAACTTTCCTGAGATTTGGATAATGTGAAAGGACCAGTGCTGCGTGGCGCGACAGCTGTATTAAACGTTTTTACACGTGTTACCACACTACACTGAAATCGCCTGAAAGGAGCAACGAGTCATCAGGATCTGTCGAGTTTAGGATTGTCATGGCAGCAACTGCTGTAGTTTTGTGACGATAGGTTTGAGTGAATTCAAGCGCAGCTTAGGTTCTAGGATTGTTTACATCGCAGTTAGGGACTCAGAGCTTGAAATTCAAAGGCTTCTCGAAATATCGATGGGAGAAGGCATTTAGAAACTTTACTAATGCAAAGCACTGTTTTTAATTCAGCAAAGTGTAACTGAAATGAGGAATCATAAACTGAGAAACATCTCATGGGAAGATCGCACACATAACATAAGGATGATGAGACAATTCTCGAGCAATGAATTAGCTTCTTTCGAATAACATGATGATATGACAAAAAAACAAGAATTCCCGGACATGGTGATAGATCCTCTCGGAAGGAGACGGTGTTTGTGAAAGACATTTAGTCATTTAACGTAGCATAGGAATTACGAAGCAAGTAGGGCATTTGTGGTATGGCGTGTAATGCACGTTAGCGTAGATCCCACGATGTGATCAGTAGGTTAGAGTGAGCATCACTATTTGAGATTTAGTAATGTGCACAGAAAAGGTTGCTGTCTGTGATCTGTTCAATTTTTTTCTTCTTTGGAAAGCATGAAACTTCGAAAGAACCCTATGCATTTCCCTGCGGCAGCCATGAGTCGGACTTCGTATCGAAATCATCAGTATTCAGACAGCGCTTCTGAGTGTACATGCATGCTCCTCTTTCCTTCTGAGTGAGGAAATTCGTGAATAAACACGCAAAGATGGTGGCAAATGCAATGGTAAATGCTTAAGCACATGGTAAATGTAACGGTAATGTAAATGGCAAATGTAATGGTAAATGTACATGCATACTCCTCTTTCCAATTGTAATGCTCAAGCTGAACGTCATTTCATTCATTTCTCTAGTAGAAGCTTTTGGAAACTCAGGTCACTCCACCCAGCAGTTAGTAGAAACACCATAATATCTCGACAATGCGGATTTTGAAATCGTAATAGATATGTAATAGATCAGGTTCTATCAAGATAGATATGTATGGTCAGGGTTTTTGTGAATTTTCTAGAGAGATGATTTTTTGCCATAAGATTGATATCAATCGGTTCAGCTTGGCGAGTGTATAATGTTTTGTTTTTAATTGTTATAATTGTTTTCTTCTGAGAAATCGGACGGTAGAAAACGCTATGATGGTGCTTAGAAATCGAGTGGTAACACATTTTGCGTTCAGAACACAAGAATGGCAACAGTTGACCTGATTCCTATTTCATTGCCCANAGTGCCCCATTCCAACTCAACTGATGCCAAATTTGTGATACCTTTACAAAATGAATCCATTGGCCGAAAGTCCTGAAATGACGGTTTTTGCAGTTTTTACGGTCTCGAAGTGCGGGTTTTTGTTGATGGATCAGAGCTCTCCTTGTGATATTCTTGTTTAGACGGCCAAAACCATCTTAAACCATTCTCAGTATCTCAAAATGTTTATCCTAAGCCGAGATATGATATGTGTAAAATGCGGACTTTGAGATAATAAGGGGTTTTTAGGTCTGGATTTTTGTGAAATTTTAATGGAAAAATTTTTTGCTCCTTTTTCGGTAACTTTGACATTTTATCTCGTTTAAAGTGTCTATGTAACACAACACAAGTTGTTTCTAAAATCTATCATCAAATTCCCCACGTAATTCCATCTACTACGCCGCGAAACTGACGCTTCCATCAAAAAATTATTCAGCTGATTTTTGGGTGCACCTAAATTCATCAATCGTCACGACTTCTTCGAAGAAACGTCAACCTTGAGCATTCTCAACCATCAACATCATCGACTGGACATCTCTGCTGTTACCAATCGAACGGTTTTTCATGACGATAGATTCTTCATTTAAATATTGATGCAATCTGATGATTTGCAGATCATACAATTTGTATGTCATATGTATTCGAAGAATGTACCGGAACGATCAGGTTCTATTAAGCAGACATCCAGGTATCTAATGTCCTCGAAAATTCTCAAAATCAATAGACTGTACTGAAAAATTTTTCTCTGAATGCAATACTGATTCAAACACAACAATTGTCCATTTTGAAGGAATGAAGATGTCTCTGTGAGCAAATAGCGTAATCGATTTTATCATCTTTCCTAATTGACAACTAGACATCTGAATCGGAGCGGAACGATCTCGGACTAAACTTCCAGGGGTGAATATTCTAAAGGCGAAATTCCTGGGACAAACAGCATGGCACGAATATACCTTCAATAGCTTGCTCCAACTAGAAAACTGTTGTAGGTTCTCGCTTTAGGAATACTTGAAGTTAGCGTTTCGGGAACATTTCAATCATCACTATTGTAATTCCTCCATCACCTTCAGAACTGGTCAGTTATCATGAAGTTTTACTCAGCCCATTCGTACCCAAAGTTTAACCCAAGTTTCACACATCGTTGCTGATGTTACGAGGGTGGTTTTAGACTCGTTATTAAAAAGAGCCAGTCGAAAATCGAGGCGAACCCAAATTTTCAAACTAAAACAAATCAGCAATAATTTGAGGTATTTTAGATAATGTTATTCAAGTAAAATCACCTTCGGAATCATTCCCAGCCCTCACGTCCCCACGTAACAATCAGTTATAGGTATACTTATTGATGGTTTTCACATTTACACCCCCTTCCTCCTTTCCTTATAATATTCAACAGGATTATGATCAGGCTGCTTCGAGTTCTACATATCAGCACTGATACGCTCAAAAAGATTTTGAACTGTTTAGGGTTATTGCGCGTATTTTACACCAGATCCTTGCAAGAAATTTGCTCGCCGCAGGAAAGCCACAATATATTCCGATTCTCCACAGTTTAGCTGTCAGAATGATGAGATATGAAATCGGCTGACCGAAATTTCGCTCGGATGCCATCGCTATTCTCAAATTCGAAGTCAACCTATACGCTATTGATTTTTGGATGTGGTATTTTGAAAGTAGTAGATATTTTTGTTAGGGGTACTGTTGTCAAAATCAGTGCATAACTTCAATATGGATTTTGATGCATTGGCAAGCAGTAATCAAACAGCTCGATCACCTTCTTCGGTCATCAATAAACACGCGATAAACGATGAATGAATTTGGTTGATCATCACTTTCTGTTCCACACTTCCAGCCAATTGTTCTACTCTGCTCTATTCCGCCCTTCAGTCGTTTTGTTCCGATGTGTTCTTAGAGTCCTTTTTTTTGTAAGTGTTCTACTCTACTCATTGGAATAGAACAGTTTAACTTGAATAAAACATCACTAAACACCAGTTGATTCGCTAACATATCCATTTTCTTCACGTCTTCTCCTCGAACCTTCACTGCTCGAGCCATTCCATACCTCTCAAGTTCAAACCACGATTAGGATTTCATATCTGATTACTACTGATCGATATATATATATATATCGATCAGTAGTAATCAGATATGAAATCCTAAT